GCGGCTGAGAGCAAACTGTCTATTTCAATATGGCTAGTTTCCAGGGGAAACAATAAGATTGATTTCCTCTAAGTTCTGGGAGATCGCTTGTGACCTAGTTTGTTCCTCTCTGTGGTCAGGGGAGGTTTTTGGCGGGGTCTCTGTCCTGTTGTTGCTTCCTTCCTGTGGTCTTTGGTTTGTTGTTATATTTATTTTTATTTTTTTTATTTATTTTTTTTTTGCTTTTGTTTTTGGTTTAGTTTTTGTAAGAGTTTTACGGCGCTCGCAACACAATAAGGTCATATGAGCGCCAGAAGATTAGAGGTGTTACAAGAGAGTAACAAACACAAAAAAGGAGGGGAGATAAGGACGATAGATTTTTATAGGAAAGGAGCAAACCACACCAGAGCACCCGCCAACCACCCACTTGTTTCTCTCCTCCTTCTTCATCATCAAACATCTATCGTCCTTATCTCTCCTCCTTCTTTTCCCTGTGTGTGTGTATTACTCTCAAGTCTCAAGTAATTCCTCTAATTCTCTAAACACGCATATTATTATTAGAATATATCTATTAGTTTAAGTAGAGGTTTTACGGCGCTCGCAACTGCATAAGGTCATATGAGCGCCATAATAATATATCTGTATGTGTTGAAAGTAGCGTAAAACTTTTGTTGAAGCAAAAACTACGACTTGAGGCCGTTGTGTATCTTAGCCAGACCTTCTGCTTGGTCGGCCGGGGGCAATGGGTGGCTGGTAGACTCTGAGAGGGCGAGAAATTGTGTGGAAAAACACGAACAATTATGATGTGCGCTAAAATCACGGGACATTGTGTTGTAAAATCGCGGGAAATTGTGTGGAAAAAGTGCGGAAAACTATGTGGCAAAAGAGCGGGAAATTGTGTGATATAAGCCTGGGAAATTGTGTAGTAAATGCGCGAAGAATTATGTAGTATAAATCTGGGAAAATGAGTAGTAAATGTGCGGGAAATTCAGTGGAAAAAGCGCAGGAAATATTTTGGTGAAATAGCGGAAAATAGTGTTGTAAAACCGGGGGGATATCGTGTGGTATAAGTAACGAAAGTTTGTAGTAAATGCGCGTGGAATCGAATAGTAAATGCGCGTGGAATCGTGTAGTAAATGCGCGTGGAATCGTGTAGTAAATGCGCGGGAAATCGTGTTGTAAATGCTCGTGGAATCGTGTAATAAATGCGCGTGGAATCGTGTAATAAATGCGCGTGGATTCGTGTAATAAATGCGCGTGAATCGTGTAGTAAATGCGCGGGAAATTGAGTGGTAAAAGAGGGAGAAATTGTGTGGTGTTAGTCTGGGAAATTGTGTTCGGTAAAAGAGGGGGAAAGTGTGTGGTAAATGCGCGAGCAAATGCGGGGTAAAAGTGCAGGAAAGTGTGTGGTAAATGCGGGGTAAAAGTGCAGGAAAGTGTGTGGTAAATGCGCGAGCAAATGCGGGGTAAAAGTGCAGGAAAGTGTGTGGTAAATGCGGGGTAAAAGTGCAGGAAAGTGTGTGGTAAATGCGCGAGCAAATGCGGGGTAAAAGTGCAGGAAAGTGTGTGGTAAATGCGCGCAAAAGTGGCGCGGAAAATTGTCTGTGGTAAAAGCGCGGGAAAAGAATGGGTCAAATTGTGCGGTGAGCCTGCACACGTTTCTCTGGGCGTAACCTGATTTCTGCTGATTAAGACAATTTTCCTGGGCTGTCGTTTCCATCACGGTGTGAGTGGAGGGGGGAGGGGGGAGGAG